GTCTGACCTCTGTTCATCCTAACATAAGTACTTGGGTTTTTCTCTGGATTCCTCTCCAAGTTCAATTCTATTTTATTTCCAGTTGACCACTTCCTTTTTGTTACTTCTCCCACCTTTTTCTTTCCTCCTTGGAGTTGGGGTGTCTGTTTAAGGGAAATGATTCAAGAAAAGGAGCAGCATATTTACAGCTCCCTAATCTTCTGGAAGACCTGTATTAACTATCACTGGTAGAACAAAACAAAACACTTTAATCTACTTTGGATGAAGTGATGATTTCTTATAACAATCCCACTATGTCAAYTTAGCAACATAGTTGGTCACAGACCCGCCTATTTAACTGCTAAATCCCATCTCCTGGATTATCCACCWGTTTCAGTACCATCACAGAAGAAAAATGCAGTTACCTATTAGTCATTTTTTTGCCAAGCACTTTCTGTATGGTGGGGTTTTGTTTGATTTGGGCTTTATTTCGAAGGTGTGTATAATTTCATTCCATGCTGGCTTTCCAGTTTAATTCAATTGCTGTGCAAGACAAAAGGCAGCTTTCCTTCAACGAACTCTGAAATTCTAAAGTTGTGAGGTCGTTGCTCAACCAGTCGAAAAGAGGATCCATTAGAGGAGAAGCTGCTACTGAAACTGGCTGCTTTATGAGCCAAGAAATCGGCTTGGTTGCTGCAGGAAGGAGGAGACGACTCRTTATCTGGGTGCTGGGAGCCAGTGTGTTGGAGTCTCCTCTTCCTGCTCCGCAAGGACTGAGGCGTCTCTGAGGTAAGCAAAGCAGCAATGCGATACTCCCTAGGCTTATCAACCCCTATCAGCTGGATCTCCTGTTTGCTCCAGACTCCACCTTGACTTGGAAAGTGCTTGCAATTCCATGAGGTAATTCTTCCTCCCAGTGCTGTGGCTCGTTACCACGACCATGTGCTCCTAGCGTGAGCCAGGACAGAAAATAAAAAAAGCCTACCCCGACATCCCTGTGCCATAACTTCCTCTTTCTCCATCCTGCCGGGGAAGGCTGTTGTGCTTCGGCAGCGATCGGGCCGAGASGGAGGGAGGGCAAAGCAGCGCTGGCCGGGCAGAGCCATCGCCCTCCCGCCGGCCCAGCTGCCCCGGGCACCGCCGGCCCAGCCACAGGTGCGCGCTCACACCTGCTCGGYTGGCACCGGGGCCGGTATAAATCTGCGTTATTTTGATTAAGCTCGGATTGATTAGGAACAGGTCCGGGCTAACATACCATAAACACCTATTAAACCGAAATAAATACGTCTACAGGGGGCTTAGCTTAAACGGGTGCAGCTTTGCCTGCGCGGGGGGCGCGGAGGTGGCGGCGGGCACCGCACACGGCGGCCCCGACGGGTCTCGGCACACGGGCGCGGCGGTGACCGATGGCGGTGACCGATGGCGGTGACCGATGGCGGTGACCGATGGCGGTGACCGATGGCGGCGGGCGGGCGCCGCCGGGGCAGGAAAGCCCGTCCGGGCTGACGTCGGTGCGCGGGGGCGGCAGCGCTGTCGCCGCGGGAGGGGCCGGGACGGGGTTCCCCGCGGGAGGACCGCGCCGTGCCCGTGGCTCCCTCGCAGCCCCGTCCCGGGGGACGCTGCTGGTCCGTCGCCACGGCAACCCCGGGCCGCGGGGGGAGGGGCGCAGGTAGCGGGCGGCGGTGGCGGGGTCGGTCCCGCCATCCCTGCGGGGCTCCCCCGCCGCCCCGGGAGGCGCCCGGCTCCAGCTGCTCGCTCTTCCTGGCGGCCCCGCGAGGGGGGCGAGCCCCGGACCCCTCCCCATCCCGGCCGGGATCCCGAGGCGCTGTCCCGGGGCTCCCGGCGAGTCCCTGGGAACAGGGAAAGGCGGCGGGAGGGGCGGGCTGCGAGGGTGTGCGAGCGGAGCTCCTCGGGAGGCGTGGGAGGACACGGTGCTCCTGCCCGGCTGTGGCCCGGGGGTCAGAGCCGCCAAGCAGCGGGACCTTTCCAAGGAGCGATGTCCTCCCGGAGCGGGAGCGCGCACGGGCGCGGAGAGCGCGCCCCGCCCCGCGGCCAGGGACGCGGGATGCGCGGGGTCCCGTTCTCGGGAAGAACAATGGCCGTGCGGAAGCCAGGCCTCTTCTCCAGCCCAGCCTGGGCTTCCCTCCGGAATGCGTTTGCCTGCTCGACCTCCGCCCTTGCAGGCGGCCGCATCCTCCCCTCGCCGCCCGCGTGTGGAGCCGCACCATTGTGGGACTGCACGGAGGCGTGGGASGGTGACTGCATCGCGAAAATCATTCTCTGCGACCAGGGAATGGGTTTTTGTGGTCACTCCAAGGGCATCCCGGCCTGTCGCCCCTCCCTGACACTGCAGAATCTGCTGGAGCCCGTCCCCGAGTTCCTCCTGTGACCCAGCTCCAGCTGGAGCGGTGCTGACCCGCGTGTTGTGGTACCGAGCCGGCTCTGAGACTGGCTAATTACTGTAAACACAGCRCATAGCTGTTCTGCTTAGAAAAAAAAAATAGCAAAACTGATGGGTTTAACTTCTTTCACTCCATGTTATTTTTTATAGTGCTGTCTCCAAAATAATTTCAACTTTTATGTTAAGKTACTACAGTGGAGGAATAACTACTTCTTTCACTTTACTTTTGTACTTAGCAAAATGAAGGTAAGGAAAGAAGCAATGAAAGTAAATATTTTTWTCTTTAAGTGGGTAGACAATAGAACTTTTATATCTGTAAATTATTTTCAAAACATGAGCAACAAATCAGTGTTTTTACTGTCACCCGTTTTACTTGCAAATGAAGCACATATCTCTCTGGATTGTGTGCCCCTGTGCATTCTTCTGTACTGACACTGGCTTTAATTTTAACATAAGTTAGACTGGCTTCATGTAGAGAAAATGGAAATTCCTTATAAAGTCAACTCTTCCTTAACTGAAGTCTTCTGTGTATGATTCAGTACTAAACGTGATGCTTAGACAGCAAAGTTTCATCTTGCAGAGGCAAAACAATGGGTTTTTTCCCCTCTAAATCCTACACTCAAAAAACACTTAGAATTTGACAGTGGGCACAGGTGGTATTTACCTGATCAAATGCYTCAATTTTAATTTGCTTTTTGGACAGGTAGAGTACACCCCAAGGATGCCTGGACATTGGGCTCTTCTGAGCAGTTTGTCACTGAGGAGGCAGATAACTAAACTGTAAATGCCCAGAAAACCATTTCAGTGCTCACAGATGAACTCCTCTTGTTTTTTGACCTCCAGACATCCCTAGTTTAGGTGGATCTAAATTAATGGAGAAACATATTGTATGCAATGYGTGCTTTTAGGGATGTACTAATAGGAAGTATATGCTGAAATACTATTTAATAGAAGGACAAGCAGCATCTGAAAAGCACAAAAGCCTAATTGATTCCAGACACAACTGGCCTGGATTTTGTTTCCTCTTATTCCAACTTTCTGACCTTGTAAAAATTATCTTGATTGTGTTATAGTAAAACAAGGCCATGATCTTGCAAAAACTACCATGTGTGCTGGTGCTGAGAAGTGCCCGGCAGAGCTCTGCGTACGGAACAAACGCTGACAGCGTCAGGCCCCAGCACTGCCTTGTTTGTTTTCCCTTGCTTATATCTAATCATGGTGAAGCAATAGGCTCGCTTCTGCTGAAAGCTGGAGCTGGGTTTTCATTTTTAAAGGAGSTGAAAAATGTGCAGTAAAACTTATGATTTGTGGTGAATGATAGGTTTTAAATTCTTAGTGGGGTTTAAGCTACTGGGATTTTACAGTATTTGGACWAGGGGAAAGAACAGGGAGGGTTTAAAAACATGTATCGCCTGTATTTTTTTTCAGTTGTGTGTGCGTGTGTGGTGGTATCTCTGTTTTTCAGGAGATTGTTTCTGGGGATTGGTGGGAGGGTTGAAGGACTTACTGGCTTTGATGATAACCCGCACAATTCTGTTTTGCCTTTGTATAAACATGCACGAAAGACCTAGGACAGCACGGTGTTCAATGTGCCGCCGTCTGTGGCACTGGAGAACTTCTAATAATATTTTCTGCTTGAAAAAATCCAAGGCCTGGGTGCACTGATCCTTTTATTACAATAACTGCTGTTGCTCCTTCTAYTTGGGAATCTGTGTCTTGCTAGCCTTAAATCTCTGTGGAGAGTGGTGACAAAAACAGGTCTTTCCAGCATATTGAACTGATGATTCCTCTCCTTATTCCTCTGAAGGCTCTCCTTTTGGCTTTTTTCAGGATCAAGAATAAACTGTGTATTTGGGCCTTTGTCAGCAAGGTTCCCATGGGGCAATCCTTGTAAGCACTGGGATTGCCTGTTTAGTAGCAGGGAGACTTATGAAAAGCAACTCCAGGTGGAAGTGGGCCTTTTCCTGCTCCTCCCTTCATCCTGCTGCAATTCCCTTTCATCCAGGCCCTGAGAACTGCCTGCTGTCCAGACTAAGGTATAAAACTAAGGGAGTTGTGCTCCCTTGACTGAGATATCAGAATATCTGCCTTTACTTATGTTGATTTATTAATGTTCTGGGGAGTTTTGTTGTATATTTTGTACTACGTCAACTTTCTACCTCTGAAGAAAGTGAGCATCTTTTATTCATCATGAAACTTGGTTTCCAAGAAGTTGGCATCAATATGACTGCCACATTTGGGCTTTTTTAACCACCATGTCCATGTTTCTTATTTCCCAACAGATTGCAAGGTGGACATGGTGTGTGGTATGTTACTTATTAAATAAAAAAGCCTGAGAGCATGTGCAGTGTTCTGACTCAAAAATCGTGTTGGTAACCTGCTACACAAAAGATGAATGTTAGTGCCAGCACCGTATCTGTTATCTTCATCTTTTAGCAACTACTTTGCAGCTTTTCTGTGAAGTTATAGACAAGCTCCAGGTAAAAACCTGCTGCCTTGGAAGCCGTGATACAATCTGTGTGCTGGGTGCGAAAAATTTGGCATGTTCTGGCTTGTGTTTTTTGAGAGAAAACAATTGGTCTGTTGCTGCTGAGCTGTGCTGTTCCATGCAGCGCTGCCGAAGTGGGCAGCAGCCCTGGAGTGTGACCTGTGGCATTACAGAGGTGCCTCATGTCCCCTCCCTTCTCGGCCACCAGGATGAAGGCACAAGGTCTGTCTGCCTTAACTGAAACAAGCGCGTTCTGTTCATCTGCCCGGAATACACAAGCAAGTGTAATGGTTGTGTAAGTTGCTGGTAATACCCAAAGCATAAACAAACGTGCACAGGAGAGGTGAGTTTCTGGCRAGTTTTCAGGGGAGTTCCCTCGGTCCAGGTGTTCCTCTTTAAGGAAAAGACAAAGATATTTATGCAAGAAAGAAACAGAGAATGTGCAGAAGGGCAGGGTACAAATTGAGGTGTTGTCTGATGGTGATGATGCTTTTAACACTGACCTGTGGCTCCAGATTTATTTCTTCATGTTTGGCACATCAGAAAACACCTCTGCTTTCAAATCATGCCAGGATGAGTGACGAGTATGCAGCACCTCGTGGAATCAGATCTTACATGAAGTGAGTTATTCCTTTATCTGTGAGTCAGTATTGCCAGGGTACATTCTGTTTTAAGGTTCAATTAATGGTGTATTCTATGAAATAATTAGAKGATGAGAAGTTTTCTTTACASTGAAGGTGGTGAAGTGCTGGAMCAGGCTGCCCAGAGAGGTGGCYGATGCCTCATCCCTGGAAACATTCAGGGTCAGGTTGGATGGAGCTCTGAGCAATCTGATYRAGTKGGAGATGACATTGCAGGGTGGGTGGATTAGATGGCTCATAAAGGTCCCATCCAACCCAAATTATTCTTCRGTTCTGTGATCAAACTCCACCTAGYCAGTCAGTTGTTTCTTTTCTTGCAGTGAAGTGCTCCACAAAGGACACGTGTTTGGCTGGACTGTGAAGAGCTGTGAAGATTGTACAAGTAAGTCCTGACACAATTGCTGAACATATCTCACACGTTTTAAATATCCCAGTACCCACAATAATTAATAATTAATGAGTGTGAGTGCATTCCCCTTCTCCTCCAAACTGTGTTGTTTCCATAACAGAGGATTGATTCATATTTAGATTTTCAGCCCTGAAAATGTTTTATGTTAGTGAATTGAAGACCACAGCTGGCACCTTCACTACTCTTTTGCAGAAAAACTTTTCCATAAGCTTTAAACTTAACTGTGTTATGAGACTGTTTTCTCAACCATATATGAGACTTCACAGAGCTGGGACTGAAATAGTGGAAGGAAAAGTTTATTATACTTTCTTCTCTATGTAAATGCACAGTAATCTTATTTTTGTCCCCATTTCCTTCTGAACCTAAATTTTCCATGCATGCCCTTCTGGAAAGAGAAAGGACAAGACAGAGGAGGARAGAGACAGAAGAGATGTTACAAATYACTCTGCTGAAAGGCACCGGGATAGTACCGTGATAAATCCAGGGTAAGAAAACACAAAGGATAATCTGGACTCATGTAAAACAGAGCACATTTATGAAATGTCTCAATTGCACCAAGCTGGGACRACAGTGACCACTGTAGATGACCAGTACAGAAATCAAAATGAACTTCATATATGCAAAAGAAAAATAAATCATCAGTTTCATGGAGAGGTCAGGGTAGGTGGTTATAGGGAGTTCATAAAGCATCACTAACAAAATAGCAGTGGACAATGCAGTGCTCCTGTGAAATGCTCTCTTAGGATTTATCAATAGGTGGCATATGTAAGTCACCAAGAACCTTTGTAAAGATGACTCCACTGAGTTCCAGTAAAGCCTCGACTGCTGTGTTGCCCTTGGCTTCGTGGTGTGTGCTGAAAAATAAAGTACAGGACAGGGTGAGAAAACAAATAAGAGATGTAGAATATAAAAKGAAATGGTGAAGGCAGGCAGGCAGGATATTGAGTTTTTAAAATAATTTTTAGAGGGAATCAGATAAACTTTCCAATGTGTAAAAGGTTAGAAGAGGTTTGATCAATTGTTTTTGAATGCTGGTGAAATACCAGAACAAGCTACTTAGGAAGTTCGGGTCTCTGCTTGGCAGAGGGTTTCTAAGAMCAGGTTAGACAAACATCTGTTGGGGATTGTCTGGGGCTACTTTATCCCATCTTTGTGTGGCCAGGGGGGACCAGATGGTCTCTTCAGATCCCTCTCAGCCCCCTTCCTACAAGTTTACCAAGTGGGGAGGGGAGTGGACCTGAGTTTAATGAGAAAACGGTATCATCCTATTAGTTGATCCTCTTTCAGAATAGAAGAAGAATCAGAGAGAAACCACATTTAACCTAACTATGTAAGTAAATGGATTTTTAAAATTGTTTTAGACTTGCAGTTTTATGAAGCACTTGGAAAAACAAATACATGATTATAGAAAAAAGAAGTTACAAAAAGCTGTAAMACTGAACAATTTTAAATGCCTCTTTTTCTCAATGAACATAAGTAGAAAAATAGTTTCTAAGTATTTTTCAMGGGTATTATAAATGTGTGTTTGGCCATGGGTTTTACATTGCTTCCCATTTCACAACAAGCAGTGATAACATCYGTAGTTATATCGGACTGTATTTGAGAATGCCACACCTATATGCTCCTTGCATGTGGAAACCCAGGAAATAATTATGAGAAACCRCTCTTGCTCCCCAGTCCACAGAAGGAACAAGTTATTCAGTACCTGCTCTGAAAAACTTGCCTGGAAGGACGGCCGAATGGAAATGTGGAAGTCAGTGCCTTGCCTTCTCGGCAGGTGAACTCTGTGACTGCGGCGGCGTTTCCTCCCTCCCTCCCTCCCTTCCTCCCTGCCTGTGCGTTGGGAAGTTCCAGTGAAATGTAGCTGCTGTGGAAAGTCCTGTTCACAGCGAGGAGACGTGACCTCTCAGCGAGTCAGATGCAATTTTACAGGCGGCTCTGAGTCAGGGTGGAGCCGGCGCCCTGAACTTTGTATTGAAGAAGGAAGTGATGTTGGTGGCAGCCCGTGTTGCTAAGCAGAGGAGTTGCCGTATTTTGATGTCAGCTGATACTTTCGGCGGGGGTGTGACTTCATTCTTAGATATGATGYCTTCCATTTATTAAGGACAAAGGTCAGAAATCGCCAGCGCTGCGAGAGCTCTGTCTCTCCATATATGAAGAGGCACGTTCTGCTGAGCCGTCAAAGATGGAAATGGGAGTCCTTAATGCTGCTCCTGCACGGTGAAAACAAAACCGACCGTGAAGCTGTCACTTCATGTCACGGTCCAAGAGCAAACGTCCTCACAATTAGGGATGATGTGGAGTAGGTCAGTTCTGCGGCRTTGCTCCATTTTTATAAGAACTCACTACTGTTCCTGATTATAGAGGTGGCCTGGTCTTGTCTCCAGTAGTAGTGGGAACCGGGGGCCTGAGGGGAGCAGTTGGACACTGACCTGTTAAATCAGAATTTAGATGGAAAGCCAAGTGATCCTGTCTCATACCCAGCAAACTGAGTGGTGAGTCTGTCTGGGAGGGACAGCGAGCTGTTTGTCACCTCTGTGCCGCGGGCACCTGGGTGGGTGCTGCCTTCCAGCTGTCCAGATTGTCACAGGGAAGTGGAGACAGAGAGGGACAGTGCAGGCAGGCTGGGATCAGCTGCCCACAGCTGTGTGTGCACCCACCCCACCCACAGTGACGAGTCACAGGAGGCTGTTCCACACGGCATTTTCACCTTTTCCCCCTAAAAGTCTGTGGTTACATCCTTAAGTTAGCCTTGAGAGAGCTATGATGATTGCCATGTCAGAACACTTACACATAAAATAATGAGTTTGGGGAGCAGTATTTTGTTCTTGTTGGATCCCCGAGGATGAGGCACTGGGGAACGCTGCTGTCCCTCAGAGCTTTGTCCCTGTGAGGCCTGGCAGGTGAGTGGCATGYAGACAAGAGCTGCTGGAGCTCGCTGCCCCTCTGCTTTTCTGGTTCAGTTCCTCAGTTAAGGAGTTCCCGGCCACAGAAGTGGCTGTTTGGGCCAGTTCCAGCTTTTGTCACTCTGGCTGACTTGAGTTTAAAAAAAAAAACCCAGCCAACCCACACAAGTGTGTACCCTGGCTTGCCCTCTGTTCCCTTAGCCTGCTGGTGCCACAGGGTGGCTCCTTGTAGCACTTATATTTCCAGCACTTTTAGCTCTTCAGCTGAAGTCATTAAAGTTGTTCTTTCTGATACGAGTCTGCTGCTTCCTGGTACTTACTAAAATCCACGTGCTCTTGGTATTTCAGCATGCTGTGGGTTGMTGAATGATTTCTTCTGAAAAAAGAATATTGTTTTCCTTCAGCTTGTTAGCATCTGTATTGAATATTGTTATCATCTGTACCCTGCTAGCCACTACACACTCTGAGTCTCATGTGCTTCCATTGCTGTGTAAATTTTGAGAAGCTTTGAGTAAAACTTTCACTTGAGAAAGAAAAACCATTTGACTTTTTCACTTCATCCCTCAACAGTRTTCAGAGATTAATAAAAATGTGAGTGTGTGTCAGGGGTCACAGGTGATTTTGGAGCCAATTTCCAGCAACCATGGGATAAAACATGATGCCTTTGCTGGTCTGAGGCTCTGAAATGGCATCCTGAATGCTGAGCCCGCAGTGCTCAGAAGGCAGCTACTGTAAGCACAAGCTTGGGCTCACTGTACGGTTTCACATCTCTCCTCGCATGCATAAAAGTAAAAGCAAGGCTCTGAGAGGAGAAGTTGTTGAGTTTTGGGTACATCTGTACAGAATTTCCTCAGGAGCTGCAACTTCCTTCACCAAAGCAAAAAAAAAGCCTTTCAGAAGAAGCCACCTGGAGGGCATGGCACCAGCACAAGTACTCTCTGCCGGAACTGATGCAGGGTTTGGAGCGTCGCAGCGCTGAGCAGGTGAGGAACCAGATGTGCTTAACAGCGCTGCTCTCCAGCGGGGTGGCTGCTCTGAGCTCTCTGTGTGCAGCCCTCAGCAGCTCTCAGACCAGCTCAGTACCTGGACTGGGTTGTCAGGAATGAGGCACAGACTGCTTGGCCCTTGTAGCCTGAAGGCCTCCCTGTGCACAGCTTGTTTGGGGACTCACGACTTGTGAGGTGTCATTGCCGCCTTTGGAAGTGACAATGTCTAGATCTTAAGATCGCATTTCGCTGTACCTAGCTGTTAAAACAAATGTCAGTTCTTGAAAGTCTACTGAATAAGTAACCTGCCTTTGTATTTTCATGTGATGTAAAATCATTTGCATTTTGTAATTCTGATACTTTGAAACAGGTTGAAATGCCGCCCAGTAATCTCAGTGCTATGCTTCTTACCGAGTGCGTTATCTTACCTCTGCACAACTATGYCTGTCCTACACAGCCGCTTGCTCAGCTTGGTACAAACTATCCCCACCTTGAGAGTTTACTGGTTAGGTAAAGTGTAGCAATTCGTTGGGGTTTTGTTGGTACACATACCCTTGCTCTGCAACTGCTGTTGAAATTCACAGCCATTAATGCAAATTCTTTCTAATCTGTGAGCCAAATGGCTGCCTACATCAGATGGATTACTTCTTCCCAACAGCACACAAAGGGTTGGGTGGCTGGCTACAAGTGAATTTTCATCCCTGTCATCTCTTGGGTATTTTAATAAGCTGTTACCAATACGGTCAATCATTAAGATGCCATGTTGCTGTTTCCTCACTCTCCTGTGAAGCTGCCTCGTTGGTAACTTGTGGAGTTACAGCTTTCTCTTTGTGGGCTGGCTGAAGCACAAGTTAAGGTTTCAATGGTTTTCCTCTGTAGCAGCTGTGCWATGATGTATTTTGTCCATGCCTGGTACTACCATCGAGTGTGCCCGTGTGTGACCTTGTGCCACACCTTGCCAGTGTCACACCTTGGAGCGCTTTTCCTTACTCTCCATTTCCTGTTGTTGAGGAGTTAGAGAGTGGCTGCAATTCYCCCCCTTCTGTGAAAGTTCTGTTTGCAGATCTGTTTCTTCTAATGTTGGAGAGTGTTGAGAGACTCCCTGCACATTTTTATGACCCCGCTGATTCCGTAGGCCACGGCCTGAGGATGACTTTTGGGACCCGAGGAGCTGTTTCTGTGCCTTCTGTAAGACACATGCAGTAAAGACTGGAGCATTTTTTCCCCATGGAACAAACATTTAGCTAAGTACCTATCCATGTCCCCCTCACTGCTTCTGCCATGCTAATATACCCCTTTTTTAAAGAAGTGCAACATTTCTTTGGTTGTCTCAGCCTGTCACTGCGATGTGCTTTGAGCACTTTTCATACTCGGCAGCTTTGCGATCTGATTTCTGCTCAACAAGAAACTGAAACAAGTTCTAGAGGGAGCACTGAGGCTGCTGGCAGTTGGTCTCAGAATGAGTTTCTCACGCCCCTAAATCTTGGAGAACTTAAATCTTTGAAAGCAAGGGGAGTTCCAGGCAGGCTTACGCTACACCAGGGTGCTTGGCTGTCAGATTAGGGGCACACTTAAATGATACATGCAGAAAAACAGATTTGGGGTAAGAGTTTCTAGGTTGTTATCTCTCTGGTCTGTCAACACACTGCAAGGGAAAACTGAAACTGATCATATTTAGTAACTTGGGAGAATACCTCCGTGTAAGTTTGTTGTTTTGTTGTTGTATTTTTTTTCTCCAAAGTAAAGAAATGCAAATTAAAAATAGAATGATGGTAAATTGGGCAAATTTAGTGAAGGTATACTTGGGGCATGTGCTGCTTCAAAGTGTTTTTTTTCTTTTTTTTTTTAAATACTATTTCCACTTGCTATTTTTAACTTCATAAAAGACCTTGGCAAAGAACAGGGAGTGTATTCTACTGCACCATCACGTGCTATCATCTTTTCACCGTGTTTTTCAGCTGAAAGCTTGGGGCAGCAGCACCTCCCCGGGAATTGGCCCCTTTCTCAGAGATTGCACGGGCCCAACCGCATGGAGGTGGTGATGCCTCTCCAACCGCAAACCGTCCCKTCTCCCAAAAGGTGCTTTCCCCCTAAGCCCAAGAGAAACTGAGTAGGCCACTCATGAATGATACAATGTGGAAGAGGTGCACTTCCTCTGGAGGAGCCTGAAATATTTTTGCAGCTGTAGTGACCCTCGTGGCTGCGGAATCAACATGGACATCTGGACTGAGGGAACCAACGACCCAAGGAGCGAGAGATGCTTTTGATATTCACGTGTTCTGGATCCAGCTCCCAGYTTACTAACTGCGTGTTCAAAGAGCGTAGAGGAAAAGCTGTGTGAGATTCTATGAGGACAGGACGCCTTCTCTCTTTCCCACGGAAGAGATACGAGTGTGGGTGCAGCAAACAGCCCCCTAAAAGGAGCGGCAGRAGCTGGAGGGGGAGGGTGTCCCTGCTCAGGACCACATGACTTTGTTTTTCCTTCTCCAACCTGCCACAAACAATGATGGTAAAAAGTTATCTCGTCAAATGACTCGCTGAAAATTCCTGTAATGCCGAGTATCTTTACACTGGGTTTACGCTTTAATCTCTTTATACTTTTAAGACGCTTATTTAGTTTCCAGAGCAGTGCGGGGAGGACCGCTAAGCGCGCTACTGGTAATCACTTTTGGGTGGGATTTGTCTAATTTACTTACGGAATGAGTTTGTTTCGGTTTGTATCACGAATTCGGATGCATCCCTTACAAGCAGGGCAGCGGCAGAGCCGGAGCGGTGCCCGGGGGAGCGCGGCCCCGCCGGGACGGGGGCGCTGCCGCGGGCGGGCGGGCAACGCTTAATGGCCGCTTCCCTTTGAAAGCCCGACCCGCTCGGGACAAAGTCCACCCTAAACCGCGATCTCGGGCGATCCTACCGCCGCCCCGCCCCACCCCGCCGCGGTGGCCGGGATGAGAGAGGCGGGCGGGGGCGCGGTGCCCGCTGCCCGTCCGGGGGCAGGGGCAGGGGCCGGGGCGGGCGGCGGGGGGCCGGGCAGCCTCCCGGGACGTCTCTGGGTTTCGTTTCGCCGCCGCGCTTGGGAAGTTGGAAGCGCGGCAGTGACACAGTGACACCTCACACACCACACACCCCCTGGGCTTCACCGGGAGTTTCCCGGGACGGGACGCGCTAGGGCGGGCGGGCGCGGCGCTGACCCCGCGGTGCGGAGCGGTGCGGAGCAGCCCCCGTTCGGCCCGGTCAGCGCCGGGCGGGGCGGAGCGGAGCGGAGCGGAGCGGCGGGGGAGCGCACGGAAGACGCCGTGCCCCGCCGTGCCCCGCGGCAGCGCTCCCTTGGCCGGCGGGCGGTGGGAGCCCCGGCGGGGCGCTGGCGGGCCGCGCACAGGCAGGTTAGTGACCCCCGCCCGGGGCGGGGGGGGGTTTCCTATTTTTTTTTTCTCCTCTTTTTTTTTTTTTTTCCCTTTCCCCCCCTTCTCTCCTCGTTGCATAAATTATGCCGGGCGGGGCGGTGACGTCGCGGGGGCGGGGCGCGCGCGGCGCTCGCCCCCGGGGAGGGGGCGGTGTCGGGGGCGCGCCTTGTGGCGGCGGAGGGAGGGAGGAAGGAGGGAGCAGGGGGCGGCAGCCGCCTGGCTGGCTGGTGTCGCGCTCGGCTCGGCTCCGGCGGGCGCGCTCGCTCGCTCGGGAACTATCGGATTAAACTTGAATCGAGTGAAATTACACAAAGGAGCGAAGCGGAGCCGGCGGAGACCCCGAAACTACCCGAGACCCGCGCTGACCCTTCCTTTCCCTCCCCTCCCTTCCACCCCTCCTTCGCCTGCCCGCCCCGGTCAGGGATCCCCCTCCTCCCCTCTTAGCCCAGCCCCGGTGCGAGCGAGCAACTCCGTGCGTGTGTGTTGTGTGCGTGTGTGTTGTGTGCGAGACCCGCACCCCGCCTCGCCCCCCCCGGCCGGCGGCACCAACTCCGGAGCGTGTCCCCTCCTCCTCCCCGGCCCCTCGGCGGAGGGCAGCGAGGGAGCGAGCGGGGGACACCGGTCCCCGACGGCCACGCACCGGCCCGGTGAGTGACCCCGCACCTCGCTGGGCGCGGAGGGAGGAAGGGCGGGCGGGCGCCGGCCATGGAGCAGGGGACCCGCGGCAGGTCTCTGTCCCCGGCGGAGCGGAGCGGCGCGGAGCGGGGGTGTTCGCTGCCGGCGG